TGCTCTAAAGTTAATATAGTAACATCACATGAAACGAGAATAACAGCAGCAAGATAAAAGTACCTAAAGATATGTGTTAACTCTTTTATCTATACAGACATATTTTTGTAGCAGTTAGCCTACAGTGGAGAAGATGTAGGGCAATGCTGTTTATGGTCTGTTAATATTCGAGGATTAATTTGTATTCTCTAGTACTATTTATATTTTGATTTATTAAAAATAAACTGTTTAACCAGAGAAAATGTAATGACTTAAAGGGGAGCAGAATAGCAACTCATATTTCTTTTTGTGTTTATTCCTGAGATGTTAGCATCACAGGCTGGGCTAGCATTTATTGTCCATCCCTGGTTGCCCTTGAGAAGGTGGTAGCGAACTGCCTTCTTGAACCACTGCATTCCGTTTGCTGTAGATTATTCACAATGCCATTAGGGAGGGAATTCCAGGATTTTGATCCAGCATCACTGTAGGAACAGTGATGTATTTCAAGTGCTGGAGAGTGAGTGATGGGAGAAGAACTTGCAGATAGCGGTATTCCCATGTATCTGCTGCCGTTGTCCTGGATAGAAGAGGTTGTGAGTTTGGAGTGTACTGTCTAAGGAGCCTTCCCAAATTTCTGCAGTGCATCTTGTAGATGGTACACACTGCTGCTACTGAACGTTGGTATCAGAGAGTGAAGGTTTGTGGATGTGTTGCCAATCAAGTGGATTATTTTCTGTTGGTTATCTCCAGCTTTTTGAATTTTGTTGAAGCTGCACACATGCAGGCAAGTGAGGATTGTTCCATCACTTGTACCTTGCAGATAGTGGACAGGCGTACAAGAGTCAGGATGTGTGTTATTCGTTGCAAGGCTCCTAGCCTCTGACCTGCCTCTGGAGCCATTGTACTTGTATGACTTGTCCAATTCAGTTTTCAGTCAATGATAACCCCAAGGATGTTATGATGTGGAGGTGCTGGTGTTGGACTGGGTGGACTTATGACATTGCCCAAGGATGTTGTTAGAGGGGGATTCAGCAATGTTGATACCATTGAATATCAATGGGCGATAGTTAGATTGTCTCTTGTTGGAGATGTTCACTGCCTGGCATTTGAGTGGTATGAATGTTACTTGCCACTTGTCAGCATTGTCAAGGTCTTGCTGCATTTGGAAATAAACTGCTTCAGTATTTGAGGAGTCACAAATGGTGTTGGGTTGCAAACATCTTCAATTTTTTTATTCATATGTGGGATGTGGATATCACTGGCTGGGTCAGCATTATTATTCATTCCTAGTTGCCCTTGAAATGCTGGTAGTGAGCTGCCTCTTTGAACTGCTGAGCACCAACACCATGTGCTGAAGGTAGATGGAGGAATTTACATGATTTTGATCCAGCGACATTGAAGGAACAATGATCTGTTTCTGAGTCAGGATGCTGAATGTCTTGGAGGGGTGCTTGATGGTGTCGGTATTCCCATGTACCTGCTGCCCTATCCCAGGTGAAAGTGGGTATGGGTTGGAAGATTTTGTTGATGCCACACTTGATCGAATGCAGCCTTGATGTTAACGCAGTCACTCTCACCTCACCTCACCTCATCTCCGAATGTCAGCACTTTTGTCCATGTTTGAACAAAGGCAATGGTTTATTCCAGTGAGAAAGAAAGATTCTTTGAGAAGCATATATTAGCAATGGCTAAATAAGGAAGTTAAAAATGGCATAAAATTGAAAGAAACACTATATACCTGCAAAACATAGTGGTAGGTGAGAAATTTGGCTGGATTTTTAGAGCCAACAAACAATGACTTTAAAAAAATAAAGAGAAAGAAAGAATATGAGTGAAAGTGAGTTCTAATATAAGCACATCAAGTTTCTGCTAGCCTTTAAACAAAAAACTAATAACTAAAGCTAATGATGATCCTTTAGGGAGTGAGTCTTGGAAATCAATAATGGAAAACAAGGAAATAGTGGAGATGTTTAACTTGTATCTGTCATCATTCTAGAAGACTTAGAAAACATCCCAAAGATATTTGAAAATCCAGAGATAGAAGAGAACATCACCATCACCAGGGAGAAGTTGTTGAAAAACCATTAGGCATGGAGGCTGACATTCCCAGAACCAATGGCCTGCACCTATTAAAATAAATGGCAGCAAAGAGAGTAGGTGCTTGGTTTTAATCTTCCCCAAAATTTCTTAGATTCTGGATTGGGATTGAAAAATAAATATAACACTCTTATATACGAAAGGAAGAAGGTAGGAAGTAGTAGGGAAATTCTATAATCTGTTATTAAGGAGTCTCTAATAGGATATTTAGAAAATTATAAGATCAGAGTTAACATGATTTTGTGAAAGGGAAATCATTTTTCTCTAGTCTATTAGACCCTTTTAAGGAAGTAGCAAACAATGTAGATAGAAGAAAATCTGTTGATGCGGTGTTCTTGGATTTGAAAAAAAATCATCCCCTCAGGTTTCATAGAAAGGTTACTACACAAAATAAGAGCACATGGTGTGATGGGTAACATTCACATGGATAAAAGATTGGTTAGTTAAAAGGAAGCATAGAGTAGGGCTAAGTGGGTCTTTTGTATGTTGACAAGCTGTAAGCAGTGGAGTGAATCAGGGATCAGAGCTTGGAGCTCAAATATATATAGTTGATATCAATATTTTGTGTGAATGGACCAAATGTCTGACAGCTGAATACCACTTTAAATACAGCAAACCAGAAACTGCCCCTAAAACTATAATACTGGACCTTCAGGTCACAGAAAGGAATGCTAACACCCACCTTGCAGACAGGGACCTGGAGGTGTTTTGTGCCGGAGAAAAGGGACAATGCTTTTTCCTACAGACTGTCACAGAAGGCTGTACCATCAGACCAAGCCAGCACTGATCCAGGTAGCAGTCCTGGTCAGTGCTTGTTTCCGAGGTTAGAATGGTCATTCAGGAAAGAGATCAAAGATCTTCTGCACTACACAAGGATAAGTGCCATCATTTTGTCTCTGCTATATCACATTCACAGGGCTACCATTCATTCTAAATCTGGCTAACTCTTCGTTTTGGATTTGCTTAGTCAATGGTTAAACAATCAAACAATTTTGCATGCTGTATGTTGTTATTGACCAAAATATTACTTTATAATTTCAAAGTATCTCTCCCCATCACACTCACTAAAACATCTTCCCTACAAGTTGAAGTCCACTCAGATAGCCCCAGTGTGGTATTTCTGCTAGTGATTGTCTTAATATTGAATGTTTGACTATAATGTCATGAATAAAGTTGGTTGGTTGCGAATACCACAGTGACAGCATCTGACATAGACAGTGTCACTTATTTTGCTACGTTGTTGCATTGATCTCCTGATGACTGACTATGATAAACCCATGGTTGGACGAGAAGGCAGACTGCTTTCATGTAAATACGTGTACACATCATCCTTCATTGCACTCGAACTATCTAAGTTTAGAGTGTTCTTTAGGAGATACCAGCAAAGTCTTATGGAAGTCTGCATGCTGATGTTTTGAGGCCAATTAGATGAAAATTGTTGCTAAAGTCAGCCTGCAGATTGACAGCTTCTTTTAAATTTGTGTCTTCTTGTCAGAAGGAAGTTGAACGAAATGATTGCCTTTTTCTTTAACATCTTCACAATTAAGTTTTACAGTCAACTTCTCAGGTTTATTTTTAATTTTAATTTGATCTGTATTACTAACAGCAGCTTTCACCCTTTCTTTCCTCCTGATTACTTTGATTAATCTCATGACTGGAAATAAAAATTCTTTGTAATTCTAGGAATAAGTGTAACTTCAGCAAGAACTGTACTTTGGCCTCCTGGGATTCTGTGGTTTCCGATGGGTTAGAGGCTGACATAAAGCATAACATAGAGGAAGTTAGAGCAATGTGGAAGATTCTTTTAAAATTTAAGTCCATTAAGACATCAGTTTTGCTCAATTTAAAGGAAAGGCGTCACATGGTGGCTCGGTGGTTAGCACTGCTGCCTCACAGTGCCAGGGACAGGGGTTCAATTCCAGCCTCAGGTGACTGTCTGTGTGGAGTTTGCACATTCTCCCCGTGTCTGCATGGATTTCCTCCAGGTGCTCCAGTTTCCTTCCACAGTCCAAAGATGTGCAGGTTAGGTGGATTGGCCATGCTAAATTGCCCATAATGTTCAGGGATGTATAGATTAGGTGGGTTATAGGGGGATGGGTCTGGGTGGGATGCTCCAAGGGTCAGTGTGGTCTTGCTGGGCTGAAGGGCCTGTTTTCACACTGTAGGGATTCTATGCATTGACTAAGTTTTACAGCATGATTGTGTTGTAAGGCTTTACTATATTTAGTTATATCTGGAGTTGCCAACATTGGATGTAATCAATAACAATAACAGAAATTGCTGGAAAATGTCAGCAGACCTAGCAGCATCTGTGCAGTGAAAACAATGCTGTTTCAGTAACATTTCTTCAGAACAGCTTTGAAGTAAGATCACTCTACCCTAAATGTTGACACTGCTTTCTCTCCACTGCTGCTGCCAGACCTGCTGAGTTTCTCTAGCAATTTCTGTTGTGGTTTTGAGACGACCAGTATCCGAATTTTGTTTTTGTTTTTTGTTGGGTATAATCAGTATTGATTTTCATCACATGATATATCACCATGCCCCCACATTTCCTCTTCATCAAACATGTTACAACAAATATACTTTGATAATGTTGGAGTTTCCATATACCCTAGGTGATCCCATGTTGTCTTTATTTCTTACATAATCAATGTAGTAATGACAATGAATTACTTCATTTATCTAATTTGGATTAAATTAACCAAGATTGATTCCTTCAGACTGATTAAACATTCTGACTCTTAAACGTTCATAGGATTTAGATTCAAATGAAATGCAGAGATTTATCCTCATGGCAGGAAAAGAAATTATTGCACCATGCTAGTTCTGTACATTTTTACAAAACTGAGACATTCAGTATAGTCATGAACAATTGTTGACCATGATTCAAGTAAAAAAAAGTGAAATAAAAACACAGTTGCTAATGTTCTCAGACAAAGCTGACAACTTGTTGTTTTACATTCTTGGAGACTTGAAACGCCAATTATTAGAAACTAATGTTCGGCCTTATAATCGGTGGGGAAACTTTTCAGGGTGAATGTCATACTGGTTTTAGGTCCCTTACCTCTATTGCCTCTCTCAAACATGATTAATAAATTGACATGAAAAATGAGGCAAGTAAAATCGACCAGATAAGACTAGATATTCTCTAAGCAACCTGTTAGAGATGGCATTACTCATCTCTGGAACACTTGGGATTTGAACCCAGGCCTCCTGTCTTTGCGGTAGGGATACTACCACAAGAATGAGCCCATGCTTATCAATGGGGATGGCACCTTCAGCTGATGGCATGGTGAGGAAAAACATTGCTTTGTCAAAAGGCTGGGGCAGCTGAGTGGCCTTCAGCAACATGTTAGATTTGCCTAGAAAATTTGTGTTCCTGGCATAAACTTTTTTTTAGAAAGGGTAGGTTTTAGGACATGATTGTCTTAAAGGTGTTCTGCCTGAGTGAGTTGTTGGACTTGATGGTACTTTGGAAAGAAAAAATTGACAGATTGGAAATGAGAATCCCTAGATGTTCATAATTTTGAAGTTATTTCCTCATGGACGTCAACATCTCCCATAGGGTCAACTTCACATGGTTTGCCTCGGTTTTCACTTAGTTTTGCATTCCTAATGAGAGAAAAAGAAATGGAAACACTCTAAGAGATGATTCTATCATTCTGCTGCGGTGAAGCTCCTAAAGGTTGCCCCATGAAAATAAAACATAGAATGTGTAAGGTAATTTAATCTTTCAAATCAGCTGCTTCAACAGAATACAATCTACTCTGTAACAAAAACAGAAGCTTGCTGGAAAAGCTCAGCAGGACTGGTAGCACCTATGGAGAGAAATCAGAGTTAACGTTTCAGGTCCAGTGACCCTTCCTTAGAACTCGTTCTGAGTAGACCTGCTTTTCCAGATGTTTCTGATTTTCAGCATTTGCAGTTCTTTTGCTTTGCACAATCTACTCTGTCATTGATTCATCTCAATCCAATTATTGTTGACTTCAGGAATAATCAGTTATTTCAGCAGACCGTCACAAAGTGGTGGGATTCCCCCACTGTGAGGGAAGTCTTTCCCATCAAGTGATAATGCACAATCTTCTTGAGATGTCCACATCTTGATTAAACAAAGCTGGCATGGTGGTTCAGTGGTTACCACTTCTTCCTTACAATGCCAGGGACCTGGGTTCAACTCCAATCTTGGGGGTAGCTGTCTGTGTGGAGTTTGTACATTCTCACTATGTGTGCATGGGTTTCCTCTGGTTTCCTCCTACAGTCCAAAGATATACAGGTTAGGTGGATTGGCCATGCTAAATTACCCATGGTGTACAGGGATGTATAGGAAGGGTGGGTTAGCCATGGGTGAATCTGGGTGGAATGCTCCCAGAGGGTCAGTGATTTGATGGGCCAAATGGCCTGCTTCCACCTGTATGATCTATGAAAGCCAACGTTCTCTGAATAAAAGGGCCTGAGGGTAATCCAGGCAAGTTATTGCCCTGTAATCTAATTACTTAAATTCTCACAATAATCTGGTAGAGGATGTCTTACTGATTCTAAAACCACAATGCCCATTTCTGACTACTTCTGTATTATGAATGAAGCTGCCTGGCCTGGACTCTGAGGGAAACAAAATGAATGTTATTTGTGATGGAAGGTAATGTCCTGAGTTTGTCTTATGACTCATGAAATGATGACCAGTCTTCTTTCCTTTCACTTTTGGTTGTTTTTTTTTTAATTGTGAAGCTCCTGTAATGAGCCAGAAATTCAATTTTATATATGTTGGCTGAGATTTCTAAGTTCTACTGTCCTGTGCTCATGTTTGGGTAAATCCATTTCTCTCTACTGTCGTGAAATGTAATTCACACTTCTGTTCTCCACCTTTAGCCATTTTCTAACCGTAAGTATTCTGTCCCCAGCCACCAAAACTTCAAACAAATATAAGGAAATCATGGACTTTGTCACTAAGATTGAGACCATTCATTCTGCTGCTCCAATGACTTCTCCCCTTTTTTTGCCAGTTAACCTATCCCAGCCTGCCCCCAACCTTCACCTTTATCTACACCAAGAAGGTATGGTGTGGTGGTATTATCACTGGACTGTTAATCCAGAGACCCAGATAACATTCTGGGGACCTGGGTTTGAATCCCACCACAGCAATTGGCGGAATTTGAATTACAAAAAACAAATCTGGAATTAAGAATCTAATGATGACCATGAACCCATTGACAGGGAAAAACCCATTTTGTTCACTAGTGTCCTTTAGAGAATGAAACTGCCATTATTACCTGGTCTGGCCTACATGTGACTCCAGACCTATAGCAATGGGGTTGACTCTGGGCAACTAGGGATGGGCAATAAATGCTGCCTGGTCAGCAATGCCCTCATCCCATGAATGAAAAAAAAAGAAAAAATCTAGTTTCTCTTTCGTTTCTCACCTTCTTTGAGCTCATCTATGAAGCCCACATGTTCTCCCTCGACACCAATTCCACTAAATCGCCAACTGTCCATTTTTTTTTGGTTTCAACCTTACTGACATTATAAATAGATCCCCCTTGTCAAGCACATTCCTTTTAGCTTTTACATTGCTTTTTGCTCTGCTGAAAATACACTGGTGTCTCTGAGAAACTACAAATCACTAGCTTCAATTTCTCCTGCCATCTTTTTGTTCAGTGTACCCTCATCTCCCAGATTATCTTTCCTATAGCTTCCTGATTGAATCTGCTTCAATAACATTGACACTACCAGCCACACCCCACCCTCAACCCCAACTCCTATAGTATTGAAACAGCCCCAATCAAAGTCTCAAATGAGATCCTTTATGACTATGACTGTATTGCATTTCATGCCTTTTGATTTCTCTGGAGCCCGTTATGATAAATCACATTATTCTTATCTCCAGGTGTCTCGCATGTTATCAGCTCAGAAGAATCACCCTTGCTAGGTTCCAATCTCACCCATCCAACCGAAAACAGAGTGTCTCTGGCAAAAGCTTCTCTCCTAGCCCACCTTATCTCTTCCAGAGTCAATCAGGAATCAGTCTTCTACCACCTCCTGCCCTGCATATTATCTGAAGATCTGTAGTTAACTTCCATAGGGACACTGATGATGCACGTCTCCGATACACGTCTCAAACTTGACATTTCCTTTCTGTTGTTAGAATCAGGCATCCAGGTCAGGTGTGGATTAAGCCATAGGGCTGGATTTTAATGTAGCTGATCAATCTGGAATGGGGTGATCTGAGTGTAAAGTGCTCACAGCACAAAAGTTAACCATTGGGCCTATAGTGTTGCTGTTGTCCCTTTGAACAAGCAATTCACCTCACGGTACTCCCCTGACAATCCCCAAAGCTGGTAAATGTTTCTTTTTCAGGTAATCAGCAAATTGCCTTTTGAAAGCTTCAACCTACCCGGTCTCCCCCACACTTTAAGTAAAACATGGAAAACCCAGACGTCAGGGCTCCCCCGTGTGCTCTGAAGTTTTAACATCACAGTGTGTGTGTCATCGCCAGCTGGCTTCTCCCAACTTACTGACCTGGCTTTCACTTGTACAAGGTTCATGAGGGAGGTACATTTGATAACTCTTATGGGAAATCAGGCCTTTATCCTAGAAAGGGCTGGTGTTAATTCTGAGCTGGGGCTGATTCTGGCCTGGTATGGGATGGTGATCCTGGCAGGCTCATGATGGGGGTGTGGTCAGACGTTCTGGGGGAAATTGGAGACATTGGTCCTGAGATTGGAAGCTGTGGGGGCTGGGCAATGTTGATCGTGGCTGAGATAGGAGAGCTGGTGTTGCAATATCCTCTTGGGTGGTGCCCTGTCATTTACTCTTGGAAACTTCAGTTCACTTGAACTCTGATAACTGCTATAGTACAAACAAAGTCAGTGTCTGAGGTTTAGAACTTCCTGTACACTGCAATGATTAAGGTTTGTTTCCTGTGTTTTTAAATGTGCATGTTGCCGGCTGCAAATTATCTTGAACAGTTGTTGATTCAAAAGTTATACTCAAGAAGCTTATACTAAAGAACTAAAGTTGTGACTTACCTAGAGTTGCAAGGACAGTATCGATCTGTGAAATGAGAAGAATTTGACATTATTAGGAATATTCTACATTGAGAACATATTTTCATCCTGCAAATCTCTACATATGCTTTGTTGTTGGAAGATGATTTCTTCAAGCTTTATTTGATTATTATTGCACTGAAACCTTTCTTTCTTCCATTTCTTCTTATCTACCTCATGATGCATTTGCCTGCTTCCATAAGACTATAAGAAATAGGTACAGGAATAGGCCATTCGGCCCCCTCAGGCCTGCTCTGCCCTTCAATGGGATCATGGCTGATCTGCAATTCCTCATGTCCATATTCCAATCCTTTCTCCATAACTTTTGAATCTTTGACTATTCAAGAATTGATCTCAGCCTTAAATATACACATGGACCCTACCTCCACAGCTCTCCAGGGCAAGGAGTTCCAAAGACTCACAAACCTCTGAGAAAATAAATTCCTCCCCATTTCAGTGTTAAATTGACACCTCTTTTTGCCCTTTGGTCCTAGCCTCTTCCGCTGAGGGAAACATCCTCTCATCATTTGCCCTATTAAAGCGGTTAAGAATCCTATATGTTTCAATCAGATCACCTCTCATTTTTCTAAACTCTAATGAATAGAGACCCAACCTGTTTAACCTTTGCTCATAAAACAATCCCTCAATACCAGGCATCATCCTCATGAACCTTTGCTGAACTGCCTCCAATGGAATAATATGTTTCTTTAAATAAGCGGACCTTAAATAAGCAGTGTAGTACTGCTCACAGAACTCGAGATGTGGTCCCACCACCTTGTACAGTTGCAGCAAGACTTCCCTACTCTTGTCCTCCAATTCTCTTGAAATGAGAGCCGACATTCCATTAGCTGTCCTGGTAACCTGTTCTTGGTGCTCCTTTGCTTGTATTTAAGCAGCAGATGGAATCTTGTTGAGGCATTATGGTTCCTGCCTGTCAGCCAGAGAGCCAGCAAGAGACCTGTATGGGCCTCTGTTTTTGAGAAGACCCACTGAACCATATGCCAATCAAGCAGTGCAGGTAGGCCACCTGCAGGCCATCCCTTGGATTCAAGACCGAGGGTAGAAATCTTCCTAACTGAACACTGAGGCTTGCAGTTCTTTTGTTCATGGCACAGGAGGCCATGACTCTTCCAAGAAAAAAAAAACTAATCCCCAGGGTCGCAGGATCACAGAGTGACTCAGGCCACATGTAAACAATTGGGGACAAGATCCACAGATTGAGGGTCATGGGGACAGAAAAGCATAGGGTTCCTACAGCAAAGGCCCAGGAGGTGACCCTCAGTGTGCTGGATATTCAGGCTCTCAGCCACTGAGCACCTTTGACATAGTGGAAGCCTCCCAGTAAAAACAAATTGCATCGTATCAACTGGTGAATGGGTCCACACCAAAACACAAACTGTTGGAAAAACTCAGCAGGTCTAGCAGTGTCCGTGGAGAGAAAACAGAATTACTGTTTCGTGTCCAGAGACCCTTCTTCAGAACTCAGGGTCACTGGACCCAAAAGGTTAACTCTGATTTCTCTCTACAGATGCTGCCAGACCTGCTGAGTTTCTCCAGCAGTTTCCGTTATTGATCCAGATTTTCAGCACCCACAGTTTATTTTGTTTCATAAGTGAGCCTGTATCTTTTACAATTGTCAGCTCATATTTGTGCTGGACGTCAACTTTTGGTAAATTTACCTTTCCATTTACTGCCCCCGATCAGTAATGAAATGACAGCGACGAGAAAGACTAGAAATGTTACAGATCGAACTGGAAAACTACCTATGAAGGAAAAGAAAAACAGTTTGAGTTTCATATAAACAGCATAAACGACTGGTGATAAATATGAGCTAAATTATTTTCCGTGTTTACTGGAATAAAATGGACAATATACAAGCTGGAGTTTCAAACAAATAAACATTTTTGTTTTAAATTCCATGGCTCACAATGATAAATAAATTTGTTACCTTAGTTGTTTATATGATACCTCAGTTCAATTTTTATTACAAGGCTTCAGGCAGCCTCAAAAACCTCAGTAGCAATATAATACTATTTTAACCTCAAATAAATAGAAAAGTTTCAAACACATCTGTTTACTTTGAGCAAAAAGTGGTTTTCAAATGTTTCCAGTGCGCAGTCTGGGCATTGAGATATGCTGTTGCCCTTATTTTGCCAGTATTTTAACATTTGTATGTTAACTTGTATTTAAGTTCTGTTTTTGAGGACACTCTTGAGAATGATGAAGGAAGATGCACTGCGATTGGCTGGGATTACTCATACTGATATATCAGGGATTGACACAAGCAGCTTACAGAGCGGTGACACCATAAAATGTAAAGGGATGGATTTTTTGGGGCACTTGGAAGGCACGTGCAGAAGAGAGACAGGGATCTGGAGAGGGCATGGGGACTTGGGGTGAAAATGGGTTGCTTTAGAAGACCACTCCATTCGAAGCTGGTCAGGTACATTAAAAGCCAGCTTTATGGCTTGGTCGTTGCTTGGCTTGGCTGGGCCTGATTCTAACAATACAGAGGAAATGATGAGTTTAACAGGTCTCACACCCCTACCCTGATGAGACAGTTGTGAGTAAGTCCACCAACAAAAATGCTTGCTGCCCTGTGCTGTTTAAAACAGGGAGTAACATGGATTCACTTCAGATTAGAATGTTGCTCCAATTCGGGAGGACATTCCACTTCTAGAGATGTCAGCTGATTGGATAATGGCAGCAGCTGAGCCAACCTGCAGCGCCAGGCTCAGCAATGGCCACTGCAGGGATTGCAGGCAGTTCCGATAGGGAGTAGATGACAATGGGACCAGTATGTCCAGTAAGTGTGAAGTTTCATCAAGTTTGCAGGTCTTGGTGAAAAGGGTGTGTAAGGTTTAAGGGTTTTTGAGATGTGCCTCAGATGGGCACAAGAAACCCTCAAAGGGGGTCAGCCCTTCTTCAGCACCCTTCATCTCCTCTCTATCCCAACCCTCAGCCCTCCTTTTCCCTTCTCCTTCCCCTACCCTTACCTCCATACCCCCTCATCTCATCCTCTCTAACTTCCTCCCTCGACCTTCTCCATCCCCTTCCTGTTCCCTCCCCAATTCCTCCCTCCATAATCTCCAACCTCCTTTGCTGCTTGGACTCCTCTCCCTCCCCCTCCTCTCCCTGTTTCCTCTGCCTTCTCCTCTCCTCCTCCTCTCTGCACCCCACCACTTCCTCCTCTTCTCTCCTCAACCTTTCATCCTCCTCAATACCCTCCCCTTCCTCTCCCCCTTCTAAACCTTCTTTGCCCCATTCTCTCTCTGCTCCTCTCCTCCACTACCCTATTCTCTCATGAAGTTGAATGTCATTTGCCTGGTTTTCCAACTGGCTTGGGCCTCCAGCTTCCACAGATAGACTTGCAAATTAGGACCTTAAGTGGTGTTCCTCTTTGTGGTTAGCTTTTCAACAGCATACAGACTCTTTGATGGGAGCATGGTCACACATATATTGATATTCCTCAGACTGGTTAGAGTCAGATGATTCAAGTGAATAAAAATGAGATTTCCAGTACCTTTAAAAATGGAAGGCAAATCCGTAGATATGTTGAAGAATTAAAGGTTGAACATTGAAGAATTTATGCATTTACCTACTGTCTTTCTTGTATTGCTTATGGCCTTATTGACCACTGGCCTATTCTATCTATAGGGCCATATTCTACAGGATCATGTTATCTCGGTCTGGCAAATGAATAGGCTTTGGAAAAAATGAATTAATGATTTCTGTTTATAATTAATTACTTATATCTCAGTTTGTTCTGAATCAAGAATTCATACAGAGACTTACTTCTCAAATCAGATTTTAGGTATATATTTACAGGCAGTTCTTTAAAGTCATAATCATTCTGTGCTCCACAAAGATACGTTCCCCTGTCTGAATATTCAATATTTGCAATCTTCAGTATTGAAATGTTTACTCCAGCTGTCAATTGCAAGCTTTTTTCTTCAGATTTCTTTTTCCAAATTACTGTGGCTGCTGGGTTACTGTCCGCTGTACAGTTTAGTTCAAGAAATGTTTGATGCTTAATGTGGATGTGGTCTTGGTTCAGTCGATGGAACATATCTGTGCCAGAAGTCCTGTAATATATGACAAGTTTTGGACCATCTGAATCAGAACAATGGAAATGAGAAATAATTAGTCATAGAAGTAGATTCAACCTGGTCAGAGAATAAGTAAAACTGACTGGAATTAAAAGCACTCAAATGTGTCCTTTCTGTAGTGTAAAATATTAGGACAAAGAACTCTTTAAAAGCAAAGTACTTGTGCAAGAATTGCTTGTTAAGTGGAATCTTATTCATATTCATTCTTAAGCAAAAGACAAGCAGACAACCACTCGCAAGAACACATTCAAATCAGTATTGAAAATGTACAAGAGAGAACGAAAGATTAACTTGGTCTTGAATTTCTACTTCCTTCCTTCTTGACAAGAATCATCGTCATCGCTCCAGTGAATGGTGTTGTGATAAAAAGCATGCAAAGTTTTCAATGTAAAACTACGTTCCATCATTCTCTCCCAGAAAATTGGTCTGTCTTTGACAAGATGTTTTGTGAATAGGGCAAAGCCCTAAAACCATTTTAAGGAGATAAATCTCAGTGTCTCAATATTTCCCTCAATCTACATATTTTCAAAAACCCATCTAATAAGTTTGTTAGTGAAAGAAATGTCTCCTTGTTTCTCCTTTTATCATTATTTTCCTCAGTTTAAACATGGATCCATTGGTATTGAAACCATTAACTTTAGGAAGGAGTAAGCATAGATCAGATTTATCACTTCGATGAACAAATTTTACAATGTTACAGAATTTTGGGGCACATATTTGGCCCATGAGCTGTGCAAGTTTTCAAAGGAACTCTTCAATTTACTCCTACAAAGCAACTCTTTCCCCAGTGTTTGTCCAGTTGGTTTACTTCAAGGACTTTGCAACTCCAGTTACCAAATGGCATTTCCCAAATCTAGCCACGAGTGTCCAGATTCAAAGTTGAACTCTTTCTGCACTGTGAAATGATAAGCTAAAAACAAAACTCCATTTACAGGGCCAGGTTCATTGGGATTCCCTATTAATGTAAGACAATTACACCCAGAATGTCTTCATCCCAACCATCTGAGATGGATTTTTGCTCCATATAGAAAAGTTGAAAGAACAATGTGTTATCTTGGACATTCCAACTCAGCCCGTCATCATATGTACACTCAAGGCTAATATTGCATAATCATCTTGCAAAGCTTCAGGAAAGCAATCAGCATTTAGGCCCCTTCAGGCTTACATTAGGAGTATGCCACAAATTAAAGGCTAAAAACATCAGTCCATCAGAAAAATACATTAAGGTCACATACTTACAGTTCACATTTAGCCTTATCTGCTTTATCATTTGCTTTTCACTTGTTGAATGATGGACGTGACAAGTATAGATTAATCCATGGTCTTGTGAAGTGGGAACAAATGTCAATTGACTAGTAGTGTTAAATGTGCCATCAATGTTCCTGAAAGTGGACTCTTGAGTCATATATCTCATTTCAGCATCCGCTGGTGAAGATTGAGAATTGTCCAGGATGGCTGGCAGCCACTTAATGGAGACATTCTGAGGATAAAAACCCCCTGCAAGGCAGTACAATGAAGATGCCTTTTCTGCTACTAAAATTTCCTGGGTAACAGAAATTGCTGGAGGAGATGGAGGAACTGTAACACAAAATGTGAACTAAATCAAGCTGAATGCAAATTCTAAAGAAGACCATAACAAGCTAATGTCAAGCAGGTTCTACACACTTGGCAACTTCATTTCAATAAATGAATCATGTAGAGGTTACACAAAGCTTATAATTTTATTTCAGTCTTGGAAGATTGCCTAATCCATTGAGTACCAGTCATATAAAAGTTGTTTTCTATATTTTGACAAATTGTCTTTCATCCTTAAGATTTTGTCTAAAATATATTCGTCTGCATGAAGCCTAATGTTGTTTTCAATGGGAACTTCAGAATGTTACATCTTTAAGCCCAAACTGTTCAATTGCATTTCAAAGTGGAACTCACCTCTTCCTATGTCATGGATCACTGTTATCATAATAAATCTGCAGTATATATCCTTTTTATATTGTTATGATGGTTTATGATTACATTGTTGTTTAAAGATGCCAATAGGTTCCAGAAATTGTGTGGGACTTGTGGAAAATACCTTATGTAAGAGACTGCACATACAAGGAATGAGTGATCTAAGAAATGGATTTTTTTGCAAGATGTTAAGTTAAGTTGAAATATTATACATGAGTGAGACAAAAAAAGCATGAATTAGAATGGAAAATATTGAATTATAGTATGCCAGCATGATACATATTTGAAAATAAGAAGCCTAATTTGAGCTATTGCAGCTAAGTGATTACACAATATCCAAAAGCAAATTTTCCAGTCTCCCAGTGAGAATTCTCAATTAATCAATTCAATCTTACTTCTTTAACTAATTATCTTGCAAGTAATTACATGAGACTCAGTTTTCTGTCAAATTGGGTGAGAAGTCTGGAGGCAGTGAGTGACTACATGTTTCCACACCAATGCATGCCAGTTTACCAATATCATCCTACCATCAGGCCACAAGTGACTCATAGCCAATTCAAGTGAATGGAAAGTCATTTGCGGCCAATTTTCAATGGCTAACTGGAATTTCCAGAGCAAGCCAACTTTCTGAAGGTGATTTCCAGGTGGCAGACATGGTGGCTGGTGTAATAGACTACAGGCTCTCCCTGCCTACTCAATCACAGCCA